GAGCAGGAACGACAGAAATTGGCCAACAAGGCCCAGCGTCGCAAGGACAAGCCCAAGAAGAACGCCCTGGACAAGAAGTCGTACAACTCGTTGCTCGACTGGATCAACAGCGACGAGCCCGCGGGCAGACCGGAAGTGGCCAAGAGCATCCTGTTTGACAACGACACCGACTCTGAAGAGGACGACGACGAAGGCGACGACGACCAAGCAGTAGCTGCTGCTGTTGCTGCTGGTGCCAATAAGAATAAGAAATCATCCTATAGATCGTCGTGAAAGACTATAATAATTGATGAATGAAAAACTATCGTTTCACGCGTATATATATATATATATATACAGTACAGTATATATAGACATGTCATCATTTTCTCTTTATTATTACCTCGTCGTGTTTTCTCTTCTTGTTGTTTGACAGTATTCACATTTGTACAAGTTGTCCTCATCTTTATCTGCATGCATGTTGTTCATCAACAGGCTGGAAATATATATATATATGTACAATACGTGTGCCGAGTGAGGAGAATGTCGTCGAAAAAGGGCCCTCATCGTCATTATAATAATGACGACAAGGAGGTGAAGGACGAGAAGCAGAAAAAGAAGACGACGACGACAAAGAAGAAGAAGAGTGTTGTTGTTGCAACACCAGCAGCAAAGAACGACGATGAGGAACGGAATGACGACACTTTGCAGAGACTGCAGCTGCAACACCAGGCCGGGGAAAAGAGTTTCCTCGATGACATCCTGGGCCAAGTGCTGGACTTTTCCGACGACGACGATGACAAGAATAATGGTATACTGTATATATATACATCTTGCTGCATAATAATATCAACTTAAATGAGCAATATTAATTTATTAGCATCAGGGAAAGACCAGCACGAGCAGCAAGAAAAGAAGAAGAAGAAGAACAAGACGGTCGAGGAACTGCGGTGGAAGAACATTCGACACGCCGACTACTTCCGAGTCATCGAGTGGGTGACCAACGGCAGGGACGACGACCTGCACGAGGCCCGCGACCTCTTGTTCAAGGAAGACGAGGTCATGGAGCGGGAAGACCGGGAAGCGGACGAGGCCTTCCGCCAAAGGATGATGACCGACTTTTCATCCACTCGTCACGATTGACTATCAATTTAGTGTAGATGCTGCTGGGACACGATACAGTAATATATACATATATATACATAGCAGCGGTCCTTATTGAGCATTTTTGGCTGCTGCTGCTACTGGTTCTCCATTGTTTCCTCAAAATTATATTCATTGCATGCATACATACACACATCACCGTCACTCACTCCTTTCTTTCCCCGCCCTCTGCTCTGTTATTTATTCATCTATTTATTTATTTGAAAGCATCTCCATTACGATGCTGTATCCATGTACCACAAAATATATACAGTACAGTACTGTACTGTGCAAGAATAATAATAAAATGGATGGTAAAAGTGAGAAGAGAAATTGTAGAGAAAAGAGCACCATTCGATTATTATTGCCGTATCATCAGCAGTGCTGAATGGTGCAGGATTTATTGGAGTGGAATGAAGAGCCGTTTGAATATCCTCATCCCCCTTCACCGTCCATCAACTCTCATCCTTGTAGTCCGCTATACTGATGCACAGTCTTTCCCTTCCTGCGGTAGATACTGTTATTGCTGTGCTCTGCTTCATTGATGACGTCCTCCCATTCTGCCCTTTATTCTCGCATCAATGACCACCACCATCAGTAACACTCGAGTTCGCTTCGTTTCTTTTCTATTATTTATTGGAGCTATAGTGGGTGTGAGTCGACCAATTATTAAGACGATGACTGCATGTATACGAGTGCTGTACAGTATATATACACTGCAGCTACATTAAGGTACAAGTGTAATGCTGCAATCGAATGGGGTAGAGGTCATCATCAGATCCACATCATCCTCATCCTCATCATCAGCATCATCATCATCATATACAGCAGTAAATTCGAATATGTCCATCTTTACTATACCTGCGCTGCAGCACCACTTCTTACATCTTATATACAGTACCTCGAATGGTGCCACCACCAATTTCTTTTCAATTATCTTTCCGTCGTCCTACTGTACAAGGAAATTTGGAAAGGGGAAAAAGAAGTGCATATATGCAGGACGCGGAATATATGGATGGAGGAGTAGTAAAAGAAAAGTACAGTGCATACTCTGTTGTGCAGTAGGATATTCATCATAGTGTACAGTACTCATCGCAGTATATGGGCCAAATAACTTTTACGTCGGGGTGATGAATATATATATATATATATATATACAGTATTGTATGTACCTCGTGCTTGTTTCAGCGCAGAACAGTACTAAAGTAATAACTATACGGAGATTTTTTTTTTGAAATGAAGAAAATGGACGAATGAAAGCTCTAATTAATGACTGCAGGCGCGAGGTGGAAAATGCAATACCTGAGCGCCTATGGTTGGATTAAGTACCTTAATAAAGTATACCGGTATACGTGTTATTGTCGCGTGGAAGGGGGGGGGGGGCAGAAGACATAAAGCACGGACATTTATTAATTAAAAAACAGTTACACACACACACACACAGACACACATTTTTTCACAAATTCTTTTTAAATTTTTCAAAACAGTACTATCATTTTGACGAGCGCTGCTGGCTGTGTTTTGAAACAGGAATCAGAGAAAGGAGGGACGAGAACCCGCCTATTATATTATTGTATGATGGGTATACAGTAATATGTACATGCCGATAATTTAAACTTATATACGGCCGGTTAGAGAGTGCTGAGCGATATCCATGCTGATCGATGGCGAATTCGGGCATAACGCAAGTATTTACGATATACCGTATATGCATATGCAGTAATATATCCAGGATAATCAACTACTGAATTCGTCGTGTATTATTCGCTCCACTATTCGACCTTATATCGTCAACTATAATTAAAAATGGAGAAGCAAGTGTAGTCTGTATAGTGTATAGTGTATAGGTCCGACGAAAGGCATGTGCGCGCATACAACAGTATATACTGCTGTATAAGAGTATAGTTGATGCATACGTAGGAAAACAAAACAAAACAAAAAAAACACTTGGAGAGAAAAGAATAAGGAGGAGGGCGTTGGAGGACATGCTAGCAAATCAGTGAGTCAGTCAGTCAGTCAGTCAGTCAATCAATATAAAGACATACGCATGACATGAATGGGATGACTTGCTGATGAAATGCACTGTATGTATATACAGGAGACACACACACACACTCACTCACAGCACGATGATCCCAGTCATGCCGCACATTGGTGTGAACACGACCTGAGCCAGCAGACGATGAGGCAGCAGCAGCAGTGAGCCGGAGAAACTGTTACGGCTTTTCTAGGTCAGGGAGTTTTGGGTCAACTGCATGCTGGCCATCGGTCCATTGGCCAGCGACTCGACTCGGTGTTTTTTTTCCTTCTTTTCTTTTCTTTTCTCCGAGCAACAGCAGAAGCAACAATAACTAGACATTCAGTTATTATGTGTATGTATATAGTGCATGTACAGTATATAAATATATTTGTATTTGCAGCAGCAGCATGATTCTTTCGCATCATGCTATATACACCGCCTTCCATCATCGGCATCCTTATTGTAATTTTTTATTATTTTTTACTACCTTGCCTCGTCGCTTCCTGCTCGCTCGCTCATATATGTGCGTCACTCATGATACGACTTGCGTAAGTTCCAGCACAAACAATGGGAAAATTAATTGTAATGTATCGTATCATATACAGCAAACACATTCACTGTATTATGTAGCATTCCTGTCAAGTACAGTACTGCATGTACATGTACGGGGCCAATTACCAATAACGTCAACAGCAGGCGGCTCAGTAATAACTGCTGGTGCGGAAAAACCTTGTTCCCTTGTTTTCATCATTATTTGAACAAATGAAGGAGTAATACAAGTGGGACACGTTTCCTTTTCCCTTTTTTTTCTTCCTCGATCATATCATCCTGCTGCCAATTGCTACGCTGCTGACGACAGCTAGCAGTAGAATAACAAAAGGAGCGAAAGTTTTGGCGAAAAATATAAGTACTGTACAATGTAGTCAGCAGGTGACGTGACCAAACTGCCGTGATGCGGCAGAAAGCAATATATGGAAGCATTTCCTTATTTTTTCTTCCTTATTTCTACAATAATAAGACCGTCTTCTCAAACCCGTCTTTTATTTCATGTACATAAAGCCATTCAATTCAAAATTTGAAGAGATTAAATTTTTTCTCCAAATAGCTTAATACAGTAGTTTCATGTGTGTATGCGTTTTTGGAGAAAAAAAAAAAAAGACTAACGCGTGCAGCACTGCCGTCCTTTATATATTATTCAAAGTCCCTCCTTTCCCTGGTCCCGCGATTTGAATACATCAGCTTTCATGCATGCGTGGCTGCCAAAACGTGGTAATTGACCTGTGTAGCAGTATATGATAATTGGTTCCACTGCTGCTGTGCCTAATGTCGTATTGCTCCTTTTATTCTTGATGCTTGCTGGTATTTAATTTATTGTATTTCGGTTGAGCGTGCATGCATGCATGCATATACACGTCCCTTGAAACATGAGCAGAATGATGAATGAGATGCATGCAAGTTTTGTATACTGTACAGTACTGCATGTATTGAGATGAACTTGTTGCTTTAAAAATACACGAATATGGAGTGGTCAATCCCGAATATTGTATAATACATGCAGTACAGTGCATTGGTCTATATACTGATCGGTCTCTATGTATATGGTTTTGCTTTTTCTTATTTCTGCTTCGTTGATGGTCGTCGTGTGCTGCTGGTGATATTCCTCAGTCAGTACTGCACATACCGTATAGTTGATCCTGGTGCCGCACTTTCCTTATATTGCCTTTTCCCTATTAAATTTTTTCTCCAAATAGCTTAATACAGTAGTTTCATGTGTGTATGCGTTTTTGGAGAAAAAAAAAAAAAGACTAACGCGTGCAGCACTGCCGTCCTTTATATATTATTCAAAGTCCCTCCTTCCCTATGGTCCCGCGATTTGAATACATCAGCTTTCATGCATGCATGGCAGCCAAAACGTGGTAATTGACCTGTGTAGCAGTATATGATAATTCGTTCCACTGCTGCTGTGCCTAATGTCGTATTGCTCCTTTTATTCTTGATGCTTGCTGGTATTTAATGTATTGTATTTTGGTTGAGCGTGCATGCATGCATGCATATACACGGCCCTTGAAACATGAGCAGAATGATGAATGAGATGCATGCAAGTTTTGTATACTGTACAGTACTGCATGTACTGAGATGAACTTGTTGCTTTAAAAATACACGAATATGGTGTGGTCAATCCCGAATATTGTATAATACATGCAGTACATGGCTCTATATATACTCGGTCTCTATGTATATTGTTTTGCTTTTTCTTATTTCTGCTTCGTTGATGGTCGTCGTGTGCTGCTGGTGATATTCCTCAGTCAGTACTGCACATACCGTATAGTTGATCCTGGTGCCGCACTTTCCTTATATTGCCTTTTCCCGCCTCATTTCTCCAGCTAGCGTGTGAAACGAATCCGAATGAAGCAAGCAGCAGCATTTTCAAACGAAATGAAACGAGCCAGAAGTTCACTCAACCATTTTTCTGCTTCTTCTTCCTGTTCCTTTTCCGGTTCTTGAACTTGCTTTAGCGTGTGAAACGAATCCGAATGAAGCAAGCAGCAGCATTCGCACAAACGAAATGAAACGAGCCAGAAGTTCACTCAACCATTTTTCTGCTTCTTCTTCCTGTTCCTTTTCCGGTTCTTGAACTTGCTTTGCTGGTGCTGCTGCTGTTGCTAATCGACAGCCACGAACAACAAGAGCAACAACAAGAAGAAATCAGTAGTAGGTTCTTTACGATATTGAGGCACATGCAGAGTACAGTACTGACTTAATTGCGCTTCGACGTGAATACTGCGCTATATAATGGGCCACAGCAGCAGCAGCAGACACTTTGCAAGCATGCCTTTGAATATATGGAACGGGGCCCTTATATTATTTAAAGTACTGTACTGTAGCCGAAGAGGCAATTTGCTGAATACAAGGACCGCATCATCACTTGACTTGCTGGCTGCATCAGTTTTCTCCTCCTCCTCCGACCGAGACGACCAATTTGTTCCGCCTCACCGCCCCCATCACACACACACACACAAACTGGGGCACCAACACTTGCACATGCACATGCACATGATGGTTGGTGCCCAAC